GGGTTGGGGGCAGGTGAGAGCATGTACTAGGAGGTAGGGGAGGCCGGGGGGAGGTCAATGGGTGGAAAAAGGAGACATATGTACTACTTCAAACAATAAAAAAAAAAAAAAATTTAATTTTTCATTCAACTTGGAAATTTTCCGCCATTATTTTTTCATTATTTTTTTCTTCCCTTCTCCTTACCTTGGGGACTTTGATTATCTGTATATTAAGCTGTTTGATGTTGATCTATATTTCACTGGGGCTCTTTATTTTTTTATTTTATTTTTTTATTTGAGTTGTAGTCTTTATTTCCTTTTTTCTCAGTTTCATTTTAAATTATTTCTGTTGTTATATTTTCAAGTTCACTAACCATATTTTCTGTCATGTCAAATATGCTGTTAATCCCTCCAGTGTTATTAATTTTTTAATCTCAGATCCCGTTTTTTCACTTTAGAAGTTAGATTTGAACTATTTACATTTTCTTTTCTCTACGTGACATGCTCATTCTTCTAGATATTTGAATACATGGAACACAGTTGTTAATTATCTTAATGCCATTTTCTATCAATTTTAATGTATTTTTCATTTTTAAGTTGGTTTTGATTGATTGATGTTTATTCAGAGAAAAATTAGTAAATAAATATAGTTATATCTTAAAAATAAGGTTAGCTAAACAAATCCAGGCTTCATATTAATCATTGGATTGCTTTTAACTTTTTATTTTAAAAAATTTTATGGAGGATACAGATGTTAATTGTAGAGTACGTAATGCTTCAGCTAATTGTGACATAATATAGCAGTGGCAAAGTTATGTTCTTATAGAAGAAATCACTATGTGGAACAACTGAAAAAAATGTTCATTTTGATTTTTTAAAACATGTTTTAAAGTAATGTTAGTTTTTCCATTGACTGTTTAAAATGTAAAGTTCTGGGTTCATTACTTCTTTGATCTTTTAAATAAGATCTGAAAAACATGTGCACAAATGTAACATTTGTACTGATATAAAACTCATTTATTTTAAATTCTTTGGATAAATAAAAACATCTAAATATTTTGTGTGGTAAATAATTTTATGCAAAGTACATTTATTTTATTTCCTACCTTTTGTTACATGTCATTATTTTTCAGTCTACTAGTTTTGGTGGCATTTTTATTCAGTTAAGATTTACAATTGGGTTGTTAAGCATTTGCTCTGAGTTTCCATGATAGCTTATAACTTAATTAGTTTTTATTCATCAGAAGTATGAGTTGATTTTCATGACAGCATTAATTTAAATTTGTTGTAAAATGCAGTGATTCGATATTGAAAGCTTGTTCTTTTTTCTTTTTAAAAGCACAATTCATTAAATTAAAGCAATTTTCATTAATGGAACCCATGTAATTTATAAATAGTTGAAGCGAGATGAAAGTTTTTCTAATGTTTTCTAATCCTTAAGATGAACTCTTACTTTGATCCGCTTAGTATTGGCCAGTTTCATCGGTTATTAGATTTCCCTCCTATTTCTTTTGAAAATGGCTGTTTTGAAGATGCTGGGCCTAATTCATACAATTTACTTTTCTGTACACATATGTAGATAATTTTGCAGTATCTATTGTGTGGATTCAGAGAACTTCTGTTCTATCTACTGATCCATTCTAATTCAATTATTTGATAATTACCAGAACTTTAATTTTGACTATCCTTCCACTTTGGTGGGCATGAAACAGTGCATTATTTGAATACACATTATGGTTCACAAATTTACTTTCTTCTTTATCAAATAAACAAAGAGTCTCTCTTCCCTCCTATGGAGAAGAATCCTGCCCCCATTCCCCCATTCGCGGGCCTTCACATGGACACGGACTCTGGAATGAGAGAAGTCTTACATGTGGGGATATGGAACATTCCTAATGTTTTTAAAGAATATTGTATGTGACATTCGTTATTATCTTTATTTCATGTATCTGTCCTCAGAGACAAGAGGGGGAAAAAATCACATTTTAAAGTATAAAATATCAGTGGGAATTTCTCTGGGACCAGGGACATAGAAATAGAAAGCATACGTACAATTGAAGGTAGAAAATAGGAGGCCCATAGAATCCTTTTCCAAACTTTGTGGGTGGAAACCTGGCCCGCCCACAAAGCTATGAGGCTACCCACATGTTATATGTTTAAGCAATTTACTAGTTTAGAGGAGTGAATTTGCTACCTTTAAAAAAAATATACATTTGGGCGGGGGGCGGGGGGTAGGAAGAGAACCTTATCTTTATTTATGTATGCAGGGAAAAGGACTGTTAGGAATGGCATACTAAATGGGAACAATTGTTTTTACAGTAATTTACATGTAGCAAATTAGTGAAGAGTGCAAAAAGAGATCAAAGATCTCAACCAAATGAAATGTTTTGCTCCATTTCAATGGATGTAAGCCTGTCCAGCTGTAAGTTTGTTTTATTAAGGCAAAAACATTTACATTTCTCTTGAGGTTATTATGATCGTTTCACAACCCTCTGCTGTAGTCCTATAAACCTGCCCAGTTTTTAAAATTAGAATTGATTGTGTTGTATCCACTGAAAGTTTTCCTGGAACTGATAAGTAGCTGCTCTATTTTAGAGGTTCAAAATGAGTAGCACAACGGAAAGTATATGCTCCGGTTTCATGGTTTTGTTAGTAAGAAGTACACCTGCTGGAAATTATCTTATGCTTCTCATGTCATTAGGCCTCCCCATCTGGCAAAAGAGAACTTGAACATGCATCTTACTTCTTCAACCTGATTATACATTTTATAAGTCAACATCCGTATCTGTTTCTTTAAAATTTAATTATGTCAACTAGCACAATGTTCAGCATATAGTAATTACTCAAGTCTAGGATCTGCATTAATCTTCTCAATGTCCTACTACTTCATGTCTTGAGTTTCACTATAATTTAAGTACATTCTTGGCTTGATGGGATAAACTCGGCAGTTTGTAGATGTATAAATAGCTTGCCTAGAACTCACTTTCATGCACCATTTCCTTAATTGAATTCATGGACTGTGTGGTGAACAGCATTGGCCTACTGATTTTTTAGAAAAGTGCTGTGGCATTTTTTCTTTCCAAGGAGCTAGTGTTTGTTGTTTCTTACCATCGATAGCTGGAGTGAAAGTCTTCCAGTCCCTATTTAGACATCTCGTGATTTGGTGATAACTTTTTAAAACTATGGTACAATCCCCTATCGGGTGTGGCTCAGTTGGCGGGGGAGTGTTGTGCCCTGCACTGAAGGGTTTGATTCCCTATCAGGGCACATGCCAGGTTTCCGTCTCCATCCCCATTTGGGAGCATGCAAGAAGCAGCCAGTGGACATTTCCTTCTCATATCGATGTTTGTTTGGGTTTTTTTCCTCTCTCTCCTTCCTTCATCTCTAACAATCAGTAAAAATTCCTTAACAAACTGTCTTAAAACCCCGATACCATGTCCTCCAGTTCAACCTATATGTTTTTGCTACAGCACAAATCTTTGTAAGAAAAATTCATTTATATGTGATTAATAAATGAAGGAGTTGGGTCCCTATAATATAGAAGGCATCAGCTTATATGCAACTTTTCCTAGATAAGAATAGCCAGAAAAACAGCAATAGAATTAAAACCTTGGGAAGAAACATAAAAACCCTCAACTCAATTGCTGCACTGGATCAAAAAAGCCTCTATAGCAGGGAGTGGTCCTCAACCTTTCTAATGCCCTGACCCTTTAGTACAGTTCCTTGTGTTGTGGTGACCCCAAACATGAAACTTTTTGTTGCTATTTCATCACTGTAATTTTGCTAGTGTTAATGAATCGTAATGTAAATATCTGGGTTTTTCCCGTGGTCTTAGGCTCTACAGCAGCGGTTCTCAACCTTTGGGTCGCTGAAGTAGTAATGAAAGTAATTTTGTGGTTGAGGGTCACCAGAGCATGAGGAACTGTATAAAAGGGTTTCGCATTAGAAAGGTTGAGAACCACTGCTTTATACTATTCGTTTTTTATTGATATGTTAGTTTCTCAAAGAAATTTGGTAAAACATCCTTCTGTGTTTAAGTTTATGGATTTGGAAATTGTGTTTTTATAATTCAGTCATTTGTATGCTTATCATTGCTAAAAAATTATTTTCTGTGTTATAGAAAGAGCATGATAAGATGTTTTGTTGTTTCATTTGTCTAAAACAGAGTATATTCATATAAATGAGTAGAGACAAAGGGAAGGGACTAGTAGGGGAGAGGGTGGAGTATACTTTAAAATTCTTCTAGTTAATAAATGTACATTGTTGAACAAATTGCAATCCTTGAAAGTTTTTATAACTTGGTATTGTGAAAGAATATATATATATTACTAAATGTTCATTCTTAGAGTGCATTTGCATTTTAAATTATTTATTTTAAGGCTGCATGTCATTTATATTTTAAAAAAGAAAAATAGTAAGGAAAAAAATAATTTAGAGAAATGATGAAAGACCACCCTGTCCTTAAATTTTAAATTAAAAATAATGTTTAAAAAAGTTGTTTGAATAATTTCAAGAAAACATTATTTTAATACTGCTAAAATAATTCTGTATAAGTTCGTTTTAAATTTAAGAAATAGTTCATTATTTGTCAGATATACAATTAATTACTTTGAATTGGATTATTTTAAAGAACTTCATATATTTAAGCATGCTTAAATTTTATTGATATTGTTCATTTAACATATACTGATATTTATAAATATTTACCTCCTGCCTAGATTCAAATTATAAATAATGATTTAAGTTGAGTGAATTGGTATAATCATGTTTTTATACATTATATTAGCACTTTATGTTTTTCAGCATTTTATTCTCTATGAGTATTTACTGCATCTGTATTTATAAAAGATTATATACTGATCATATTAAAAATTTATGGCTTATAATGTTTAACTACAAATTAATACAAATTGTTAACTATAAAAATAAATATAATATAATTTTAGTTTCTTTAATGTTACATGTTCAAAGAAAAGTGAATAAAGAGTATTCTAATTATTAATTTTTATATTATTTTGCAGGTGCATTTTCTTGATTATAAATCAGTACATTTTGATCATAAAATGGAAAATCTAATGCAGATTAGGGAACTAGCAAAGGAGGTGAAAGAAAGAAATATTTTACTATGTGGACTTCTCATTTATTACCCACAGGTAGGTAAAATGTTGTTCACTTCAGATTGTATGTCCTATAGACTACAGATTTAGTAGTGGGAACCTGACTTTGTTAAAAACAAAGAGATGTGTTAATAAGGAAAATATGAGCTGGAAAATTACTTATCTCTATTCAAGGGGAAAAATCAAAACAAGTGTTTTGATAGGGAAAAAGAAAACATGAAAATTAGCAAATGTCTTACACTAGGTGGCCAGACATGCAAATAAAAATACAGAATGCCCAGCTAAATTTGAATTTCAGATAACAAATAATTTAAGTATATTTCAAATTTGGAATTTGAAATTTGCAATCCATATTTAACTGGACTTTTTAAATTTAATTAAATTTAAATTTAATTTTAACTTAATTTAATTTAAATGTTATAATTCTTAGCCATTTGTATGATTTGGAATCATTTATTTTATGTTAAGCTGAAGATGTTGGTGAACATGTTTTTAATCACTTGAAAGCAGTCCTTGGCATTCAGATTACAAGAGGACATGTTATTTAATTACAGAAAACTCTTATCATCTCTGTCATTTAATAGCAGCAAGTCAGTGAAGGAGAAGGTAAAAGAAATTAGCATTATAAATTCTTTGTGCAGAGAAATGTTATATAAATCAAACTATTTGGAGAACCCATTAGAGAAGATGGATTTTTCCTTTTACATAAATACCTTTCATGGAATTTGAAGAATGCTCTAGAGTTTCTTAGAAGTACCATACAGTAGTCAAAGAAATGAAATAGTCAACTGCTTTTATAATGGTTTGAAATAAAAATTATTTGGCACTGACTGTCCAGGAAATGACAGGATTTAAAGTTATATGGATGATGACTAACAGCTATTGTTGCTGAAATATTTAAGGTGCCTTTTTAACCTGAAGGTAACATTTCTTTTGAAGCAAGAGAATTTTCATAAATATAAGGATTATCTTTTAGTGAATCCCTCGGTTTTCTTTAACTTTTGAATTTGTTTCCTCTGCTTCTGAAATATGAAAGCATGACCTCCGGTTAGTCATCAAGAACAAGGCAAACTTTGCTTAGAATAATGAAATTGTAAACTGTGAGTGCTGTAGAGGTTAGGACAACCAACAATGGGGGCCACTGGGGCTGGGCTGGTGGTGGGGAGAGGATGCAGGAGGTTGGCCAGCCAGCCCTGCCCCTAATGGGGGTGAGGGAGGCCAATTTGGGGTGGGGCGAGGAGGGGATGATTGGAGCCTGGATCCAGCCAGTTGGCCACTGCAATGTTCAACCGTTCCGCCGTTTCGGTAGCTAGGTGTGTGTGTGTGTGTGTGTGTGTGTGTGTGTGTGTGTGTGTGTGTGTATCTCCAAATATTATATAGAATGTACTTGTACTAAAATTTTGTTGTTGTTACTCTGCAATTTAAATATAACTGGACATCTTGTGTTTTTATTTGCTAAACCTAGTAACCCTTGTAGAATTTTTATTTGCAATAAAACTATTCATTTTTCCACCCCTGGCATTTTCCCACATTTGTGGAATGGAGTCAGGTGAGTATATATGTAACTCTGTACCTGTGAAGGCCACCTGTCTGGAGAGGTGGCCTTAATGGAAAGGAGGAACCTTTGCTATTTACTGCTTGGTGTCTGCTTCATTGTTTTAAGCAAAGTTGGATCTGCTAAGCCAGCTCTCTGCTAAGCTTCCAAAAGTGGGGAGAAGATGATCCTGCAAGGACTTCAAGATATGCTAGTATCACGTGTGCTCACTCATCTAGGGCAAATGATGAACAACATAGACATATGAACAAGAACAGCATCAATCAGACTGTCGGACCTCAGAGAGAAGGTAGGGGAGGGTGGAGGTAAGGGAGAGAGATCAACCAAAGGATTTGTGTGCATGCATATGAGCCTAACCAGTGGTCATGGACAACAGGGGATGAGGGCATGGGGGAGGAGTTAGGTTATAACTTAATCAATAAAGTAATTTAAAAAAAAGATATGTCTTTGTCTTTTCTGTGGTTTTTTTTTTTGTTTTTTTGTTTTTTGTTTTGTGCCACTTGAGGAGCAATGAGCAGCAAAGTCTCCCAGGACCCTCTGAAGGAGGTGATGCATGAAGTTCTGCATGGGAACCAGTGTAAGCACCAGAAGTTTTTGGAGACAGTGGAGCTGCAGATCGGCTTGAAGAAATATGACCCTCAGAAGGACAAACCCTTCTCAGGCACTGTCAGGCTTAAATCTACTCCAGCCTCAAGTTATCCATATTGTTCTGGGGACCAGCAGCACTGCGATGAGGCCAAGGCCTTGAATATCCTCCCATGGACACCCAGGTGCTGAAGAAACTCAACAAGAATAAGAAACTGGTCAAGAAGCTGGCCAAGAAGTATGATGCCTTTTTGGCTTTAGAGTCTCTCATCAAGCAGATCCATGTAGTCCTCAGCCCAGGCCTGAAGAAGGCTGGCAAATTCCTTCCTGTTGACCCTCAGTGAGAACATGGTGGCTAAAGTCCACGAAGTTAAATCTATGATCAAGTTCCAGAGGAAGAGGTTGCTTTGTCTGCCAGAGGCTGTTGGCCATGTGAAGGTGATAGATGATGAGCTTGTGTACAACGTCCTCATAGCTGTCAATTTCCTGGTGTCTACTAAAAAAGAACTGGCAGGACGTCCGTCCTTATACATCATGAGCACCATGGGCAAGCCCCCAGGCCTGGACTAAAGCACAACTGAATAAACAATATTGCTGTCATTTAACGAAGATATATGCCTCTCATAATCTTAGGAAGCAAAGATAGCATACTTAGATGCAGCTTAACCCTTCTTAAAAGAACAATAATGAAGATGTTTCAAGTATGTGAGAAAGTTTAATATATGTTTGTTCTCAAAGACCCAGGTGTGAGTTGACTCTTACTAGCCCAACAAGCTGTCCTGTGCATAATTCCACCTTAAATAGTATTTGCCAAAGATCCCCTGATGTTCAGTAGCTATGCCATTAAAAAGGGGCTATGGTTTAAAAAATGGAAGCATCAAGGAATAGAATTAAACAGACATCTTCAATAAAGGCCTTCTCACAAGTCCATTACATACAAATGAATGATTCATCTATTCAAATTGGGGACAATCATGTGCCATTTTCCATGTTCTCCTGTAACCCTTTAACTGTAGATAATTCATGGGATTAATGTTCCATAAAACAAACTCTAGAAAACACTCCTCACATATATGCCCTATGTAAAGAATCCTCTACCTCTAACCACACTCATTTACTAGTAAACTTCCATTTAGTTATACTACTTTTTCCATTTAATAATATATTAAGTGCTTACTTAAAAGGCATTCCTTTAACACTAAGGATATGAAAAGATATAAGGTGAATCTTCTGTTTACTGTTTAGTGAAAAGAGTGTTTGTTTTTTCTTTCCATGGTGGTGTAAGACACAACTTGTTAAGTGTCCGTACATTAGACTTTTCCCTGGATCTAATCCATCTCTGGTAACCATTAAGTTGTTTATATAGTTACTGCATGTTCTTTTAAGTCTCTGATTAATGAAGCTTTTCTAGATTTTTAGCCATTTTTCATAAGACATAACATCAAGTGCTTCTTTGGATAAGTTTTCAGTTAATGATACTCCCTTCTTGGAAGAGAGAATAGAGTGAATTGACTTCAATATCTGGTCTACACATATGGTCTTTCTGGCTTAAAGAAGACCTGCCTTGTTATGACATGATATTTCTGATAATGTAGATGGTCTTGATTTTTTTGGCTGCACTTTCACTGTGTTGATGTATATGATGTTTATAGTTAAATAGAATTATGTAAGTCTATTATTTAAACATATGATGCTGTTAAGCTTTTGTTTGTGTAGAATTCTTTTATACACACACGTATAATAAGACTCTGTGTTTGGTGAATTTAAACTTAGTTTTTTTCCCCTAGTATTTCAGTCTTACTATCTTTTCTTGGTATAAAATATAGTATATGATAAATTAGCTACAGTTTCTTTCTTCATATAATTTACAAATTAGATGTCTGTATTTGTGAACACCTTTAAGGAAACATTCATTTGGAAAAGGCTAAGATAGATTTTTTTAGTACTTCTAAATGTTCTACAATACTGTTTGTAATCAGTTAATGATAATTCTTTGCTAATTCAATAACTGACAAATTCATCTAATTGCATACTATTTCAACACAATTTCTTTATATTTTCTCTACTGACACAAGAAACTAACAAATGCTTTGCATAACTCTAGTTATGCTCCATATATATGCATTTTTCTAATCATAAAGGTATTACTTGTTAATTTATTGAATATGCTAGTTCCTTAGCTATATCAGTATAATAAAGCACTAAATAACCTTTTCCCTAAAACTCAGTTTAAAATATTCTAGTGACTCAAAAAATTAAAAGTTTAAAATAAGTTCTTTGTGGGTACCTTAGACTTAAGGATCAAATGGCTAGCTTGACCATTTATATATAGTATAAAGTTTTCTGACTCTGTTGTTCAGTGCTCAGTTCCTTAAATTGTTAATAAATAAGAAAATATTTGAAATTTATGCACTAGACAAGAAATAAAGTTTACCTTGACAATTTGTTAAATGAGTTTAAATCGGATCTTATCCTTCTTTCTGAAATAACCATACAGACACAACTATGAATAGTATTAAAACCAGATTTTATAGTTTAATCCATATATAGTTCCTTTTTAATATTTCTATACATAAAATATTACTCTTCATCCATCCTATTATTTTTTTAAAAATATATTTTATTGATTTTTTACAGAGAGGGATAGAGAGCTAGAAACGTCGATGAGACCAGCTGTCTCTTGCACACCCCCTACTGGGGATGTACCTGCAACCAATGTACATGCCCTTGACCGGAATCGAACCTGGGACCTTTCAGTCCGCAGACGGACGCTCTACCACTGAGCCAAACCGGTTTCAGCCGAACACAATGTTTGGCTAAATGAGTGTTTTCACAAGAAGGGGTTATTGGAAAGGGTGCACCAATCAGCAGAACTACAAGAACCAAGCCCTGAAGA